GGGTTTCAAGCTTTAGCACAAATCTTCTATAGGAAATCTTGTACTCAAAGTGTAGAAAAATGTCATTTTTGTGAAATGTCACAGGAGTTACATTACTAACATTGTTGTAATGTTTGTATGGCAGCCTATTCTTTAATCCGTTCAATTACAGAGTTTATGATTATGTAAATGGAGTATGGGATCTGAGAAAAAAAAGGTAATAGTACTTACGTTCACAGGCAAATTCGACATATCCTCGTTTACTTCCCCCTTGTCTTCTGACTGACTCCTTAAATCATCAACATGTGTATACAGTTATTCCTGCCATGTTTATTTCAAGGAGAATCCTCATAGGTGTTCAAGGAATGTCCTTGATTGTATTGTCATTACTATCTATCAAAGACAAATTTGGATTCTGATTTCTTTCATCCGGGGATTTTTCTTGGATGAGAGCTGCCACACTGAGCGCATGTAGATTGAAGGAGATGGGTATTGAAAACATATATCTTTAACAATTATGACTACAAAAAATTGTATGATTGTCAAGACAACAATTGACTAAAAATCAATCTAAAAAACTTTTATGAGTTGGAAAAAGGCCAATAAGGTGGTTGCATAACCAACAAGGGCTACTTGATTGGGATATTCTTCCAAGAAAATTGACTTAGATTCTAATAGTTACTCCTTAGGAAAATTACGAGTGTCAGAATGGTCGCGTTGTCATACCCCTGCTGCTGCTTCTTGCCGGTGCATGCTGCTGCTCGTGGCCAGCCCGTACATCTGCTGATGTTCGTGGTCGGCCCTGTGTGCAGTACTCGTGCAGCTGCAGCGAAAAAGATAACGGGGCGATGGGTGCCGGGAGCGGGAACCGGTGGTCGGTGGATGGCACCGTGGAGGTGCTCACTGTTGATAGTCTTCCACATTGAGTTGCATCCGATTCAAGGAAGATAATGGACAAGTACATTGGTATGAACAGGTCGTCGACTTTGACAGAAAATGCATACATATTATCAGTTTTCCTTTTTACACTAACAAGAGTTTCGTGCTTTCCGGTATGGTGTGGTGCTTCCCCCTTCATTTAGTGAGTTCTTCCTTAATGGAGGATATGGTATAGGTAATAGTGAGCGGTGTTCTAGCTTATGCACTATTTCCCCCTGGTCCGTAGGTTATGAGTGTAAAAGTACATTTCTAAAGGATCAATCGTAGTTTTTCTAGAACATAGCATTCTTGGGACACACCATTCAATTTTCACTTTCAAGTATTAAAGAAAATGGGGTTTGAATTGTGCCTTTACAGGCATGAAATGCAAAGACATAAGTGATGATATTGAATTGCTTTCTTGCATTAGTCTAGCTAGATTATATATGTTCCAATGGATCAGGCATCAGGTGCTCTGTTGATAAAAAAAATTCCTGCAGTACTGCTCCTATAGAATTGTCTCTAGAATTCTTGCAAAAAATTGTTACCTAAGTTAGTTGGGTGCTTGAATAATGCCACCTTGGGTCAGCGACTGCTTTAGTTGTATGCTCTCTTATCAATTGATGTACTGCTAAGGTATGTATTTGATTGATAAATACACAAGAATAATCTTATGCATTAATTAATTCACACTTCTTTCCCACGAAAAATAGAATAAGTTCGCATTTTAGCTGAAAGAGAGCTCTGCAAATTAATGAGCGACATGACTCCTCCCTGGCATTGTATCTCTACTCATGAAAGGGGGACAACAGTGATAGCAGTGCGTGGGGGCCAACGCAAAATTAGACTCCAGAACGTCGGGGCATCACTAGGGGAACTATGGATCACAGAATTCAGAGAATGGTCTAACAGACAATGGTTATGGATATGCTCTATTGGAGGAATTCATGACCAATAAGACCCAATCTATTGAGCTCGTAGATATTGTGGGCCATGTGAATTTCAAATCTATACGCTGTATTTGTTTTTCTTCACCTTTTTGTGGTGACGAAGGAATTGTATTGTTTTACCATCACAATGGCGTGTATTTCACTTATTGCAAATGTTACATCCGCAATGATTCCTTGTTTTACCACCAGAAAAGAAAAATCAAAGCATTCCAATGTAACAGTAACCTGATGCAAAAGAACAATAGTTCAGTGTTGAACCCTTGATAGCTGTTAATGTTATTTTCGTTAAAAAAATAATCATTTGTTTTCTTATATGGAAAGTTGGGCTATATATCGTGGTCATTAATCGAGTTCACTTTTTGTGCAGTGTAAGCATAGTATAGTAGGCAATAATCTGGCTGAATTTATGGCAGTATAAAATTTCTAGAAGGTCATAGCATTTCACTTGTAACTATTCAAAGGAGATGCTTAGCAGGAGAAAGTGGTTCTTTTTTCGATGAACAAAACGACGGAAAATGTATCAGACTCCATCCAATTCATGGCAAGAATTCAGGGTGTGTGAAAGTGTGTGTTCGATGAATCTGGTGAAGAGATACCTCTTCCCTTCCGTTCATTGCTGGCTCTTGGATGATGGTCATCTGGCCCATGTGGCAATGGCTCCGATGAGCTTCGTGACGTCGGCATGGTGATCGACGGCTCCGTCCTCCTCACCAACCTACTCCGCAGCATCCACCCCGACCTCAGCTAGTCCATGTCCAACCTCTCTCTCCTCATGCCCACCTTCGCCAAGGCGGTCACCTACCTGCGGATGGAGGAGAAACGCCGCTGCCACTCGGCCAGGCAGGCGACTCATGCGACCCTCCACGTCGGCACCACCAGCGGCCT